ACACTAAGCATTCATTTAGATGCGCGAGCAAAAGTGTGGGTTGAACGATACGATGGAACAGCTACTGCGTTAAATGAAGTTATTGGATGGAACTCATTCACCGTGACGTTGGTGCAGGCAGACTAGTTGAATTTCTTACAGAATCGGAACATAAATATTTCATAACATTTGACATTTAAAGACGGAAAATATTAAAAAATTGTTTAAAAATGTATTCCTTTGTAAGAAACATAAATTTGGATAAATAAGATACGGTATTTGCTCTGTGAAATTTAAATTTCAAACCGTCATGCTATATGAAACTCTTTCTGTTAAAATGGTTGTTTAAACACGCATTAGAAATGTCATTGTATAATAAAGAAAATAGTCAAGAAAGTTTTTTTGAAATATTTTTGTTTTAATGCTTTAACATAGTTCATAGTTTACCTTTTAAAAAGATATACAAATGAGCACAGTTTATATTGCGTTGTCTTAGAAAATCGCATACAAAAACTGTACTTTTGTGTAGTTCTAATGAATTTAAAACGATATCATTGTATTCTTCTTCTATTTGAGAAAAAAAATAGAATCGTACTTATCCTAATACAGAAAGATTAATTTCAGTTATAGCTTAACATTTAAAACGAACATTTTGCGTGTGTGCATACAAGCAGTTATATTTTACGCAAATAAATTGAAATAATCTCATATCAAAAGTCATAATTAACAATCGACAAGTGAATTTTCTCGTGTGTCTTTTCATACATATAATTCTGATTACTGCGTGAGACATTGAACTAATGGACAGACTTAATTAACAGAGACTGCAATGTTTACCTATTCAAATAACTCCCCCTTTTTATATACTTGCATATACAGATGATAAAAGGGCAGCTGTTAACCCTGTTGCTCCTACTCTATCTCAAAATTAATTGAATGGTTTTGGTCCTTGGTGTTTACTGATTTCAATAATTTAAGTGTTGAAGATTTCATATTATTCACCCCGGCTTTTGGGAAGTTATAATTTCTGCAGATTCCTTTACCTTAATCCAACATATTTTCTATTCGCTGCTCTCGAAGGGTCACCTTTCAGCAGAATTTTACGTCAGTTGTGTAAGATCTAATGAATTTATATCGAAAGGTTTGTTCGTTTTACGCTGTGACGATATAAAAGGATCAATATGAATAATGACCCCGGTGGGTGCCTTCTTTTGTGTAACATATTCTCAATAATTTAAAGACAATGACCTGCCCAATGACCTGAGAAATTATGACTTCTTCACTAGCACCTCCAACGCTTCTTCCCGCCCCACAAACACACACAGACACCATATTTTTACTTTAACAGTATTGGACCATAGCAAGTGTTGCTAATCATTCTGTCGGTGAGCATAAAGTTATCACATTGTCCGTTCGTCTTAAAGCTTGTTCGGTGTAACGAAGTATAGTGAACCCCTTGGAATACTGGCATCCCGGTCTTTATTCTATCGAAAAAGAAACATTTTCTATAAAGAACTGACTACAGCTAAAAACAATGAGCCTGTCTTAAATGACCGCTTGTCATTATTCTCTAGCTAAAATATAATAGACAAGATCAACAAGAAAAGGCGGCGTTCAATGAACGCAGCCCCCACCCGACCCAGTAACAAGCGTCAGTGGCAAGGAGCCCAGGAGGACCCCAAACAAAAATAGGAAAGGGCATAAGGCAGAACACGGACAGGCAAACCACTACATAAGAATAAATAATTAGTAACTGATAAGGAACTAAAGAAAACAAATAAATGATTGAATATTAGGCCCATAAAAGTTTTTATTTAGAAAAGTGACAAAGTAAGGCCTCCATTTTCTTTGTAATCCACGTCAGTATTCGACAGGAACATTGGGGTTTGAAAACATTCAATTAATTGTACAATTCAAGTTAAAATTTTGTATAATCTATACAAAAGGTATATTATTTGGGAATTTGGGTGTGTATCCAATTTCTGTCAACATAAAACGTTGGAATATTATATTACTGCAATAATATTATTCCTTAAAAGGATGATGAAATACTCGTACATGGATGTATAATTTCGTACAATACAACCTAACAATTGCATTATAGTGGTAATTATTGCTTTCATTGGATCAGGTTTTCGTTGATTCATGTGTATCAGATCATCTGCCAATAAAAACATTATTATTTTTTATCAGTTTAATAACACTATTCATAATAATACTGCTTAATTCGATTGTACAGTAATGGTCTAGTACAGTAGAAAATTCCCGTTTATGTCTTCTATTTGGTATGTACAATGGTGGGTTATGCTTTGGAGAAAATTACTCAGATGTATTTTCCGGTAAGTTAAGTAAAATTGTATGTAATTTATGCATGACAAATGAAAATGGTCGTCATCCTGGTGTCAAGCAAAACTTAAGATTGTACTTTTTGTGATAAGAATACTGTTAAGCGCTGCATATGTAGAATTAATCTGAAAGATAGTAGAAACAGATATGTTGATATAAGTATAATTATCATCATCTGGTATCCTTTTAAGAAGACGAACTGAGGCTTTGTAACAAAAAAGCAGAATTAAACCAAATTTGATTTACAATTGGGAAAAGAAATGTTATGATTTACGTCGAATCAAATGAATTCTTAATTATGTTAAATACTTTAAATAATTTGAACTGATACTTATAACTGATACTTGCAGTCTTTAATTTACATTTAAACCTTATTCTGAAGATAATTATGTATATAGTCAAACATTTCTAGTAATGTTTAATATTTTCAATATCTGATATCCTTTTTCTTTATTCTATATTTACAATAACAGCAGTAAGTCGGCGGTCGTGCAGACGTATATTCTTGAAGCTTTGGTTCTTTAATGTAACTATATGTTGATTATTTGTTTTTGACACTTTTTAACGAAAGTTTTGTGAAAGTTAATTATTATGTTACATTGACTAAACAAAAAAATCGGTCATATCTAATAATATTCTGTTCAACATAAATATGTACGCATTTTGCGGATACTGGTTTTTAAAAAATAACTGTTATCATGTGCTTCGTTCAGAAATAAATTTTGTCTAATAGAAAATCCTTAATTATCGGCATATTAGACATTGACACCCAGATGTAGTCAATTTCTCCAAAAAATGTGTGTAATGTTTTCTTACATTACGTCTATTTCTAAGGAAGGACTAACTACAAGTATGAATCATACAAATTGACCATGATCAATGACTCTCTATGGAAGGGCAAAAGCTACATGCGTGTCAAATTACACACGATCCGTCGTCGATCTGTCAGTTATGTTAGATGAAACAGTGGTGAAGATAACAGCCACAGAAATATATTGACAAGCCAGTGACATAAAGACAAGTTTATTTCATGCCAATGAAGAATGGAAACAATATATTGCAGATCCGGAGTGATATTGTGTTACTTATCAGTACAAAGACACATTTTTCATAACAAATTTAGTATTGAAATGTGTGTCAAATATAGTTCTCTTTAATATTATTACATATAAGCGAAGCGAATTCAATCGTGCAATATACATGTTTGTAAGTGAATCAGTTTTTGCAGTTACATTTGTTGAACAAGAAAAACAAGAATAATTGTTATAAATACAAAGTGCCGCTAATTAAAAATGCAATCCTTGGGGATTAAAAAACAAATAATTATTTATGTGCTGGGGCATTTGTGTAGGTACAACATCAATTACGCATAACAAATATAAATGATCGTGCTGGATGATGTATTTCAGAAATTGTTATATAGCAGAAAATTTGTTTGATTAAATCATAAATGAAGCTGTTCGTGCGATGTACAAAGTGACTGAACTGTTTTATGGTGACTTGTATGTACCTTATTTTAAAGAGGACTAACCTTGCTATAATATTTCAAGATATTACGTTTTTGCCAATTATTCTGCAAGATGTAGACTTGGGGAAAAGAATTATCTATCAATGTGAACAAAATCTCTTTGCAAAAAGGCACAATTACCTACTTTTTTTTTGATATCCCTACAAATTACTCAACAACCATTGCAAAGTTTTTCTAATGTATCTAATATAAACCATTTACTTGGTAAGTATACGAGTCAAAACAGCTTGAAGCTTCAATACATTGGTTACACAGCTAGATTAGACAAAATCAACAATTTAAAGAATATAAAATTTCTGTGTTTTGTTTGCGTGATAGGGTTTTACGTCGCCTCAACGGTGGATAAGTCATATGGCGACTTTCAAGCTTTACTGGTGGCGGAATTTCTCGGGTTCGAATTTCAGACACCAACAGACACCTGAGTAGAACCACGGATGTTCCGTTAGTTAGCTGGATTGCTTTCATACATGAAAGAATCCAAAGTACATGGCGGGACTTAAACCTACAGCGAAAAGGGACAAATGGTTTGAAGCCAACGATTTTATCCAATGCTGTATAAAGCTAATGTGTTTCATACTGGAGTTTCTCAAATTAAATCACTGCTTAAATGCAACAAGATTTTATTTTTTTTGCTTTTTGCATTATTCATTCATATAAATAAGCTCGGTTCTGATTTTTCTTAAACGTTTGTATCAGAGAAAAAAGCAGTCTTGTTAAACACATAACCTTACAATTTATGATATTGGTAGTGCGCAGTAAATTTGCAAAAAGTATGTTAATTTTGGAATAGGGAGACCCCTTGAAAAGAATAAAACAAAAGCCATAACAAAAAAAAGAAAAAATGCAGGCACGGTTCGTGAGAGATTATAGAAAGACGCCCATTAGCACCGGCTGCAACACAGCACTGAACACCTTTTTTTGAATAGTAAGTTACTAACATTCACAAATGATTGGAACATATTTAATGATAGTAAAAAATATGTTTTACCACCTTTAATTACCTCTTGTGATATTTCTGTCACGTTGAATTGCGAAATACTTAAAAGCATTTCCAATATATGCAAATATAGAATATCATAAATAATTTAATTGTTGATTTATAAGTGATATAGTGTATCTGATATTTTTATATAATAAAATAGTTCTCGGAAATATCACGACGAAACAGAAATATTATTAAACTAAACGTAAGTTTTTAAGTGATTCATATTATGTAAATTTGATGCATTTGATATATGTATCTAATCATTCACTAAACTAAGTGGTTTTACAACGATTTTATTGTTGCAAAGCTAATTATGTAAGAATGCAAATAATTTGTATTTGATTGTATATTTATTTTATATTATGTTATGTTTCAGTTGGAACCAAATTGCTAGAAGGCATGATGAAGATTACAAGTGCTTTGTTCGTACACTTAATAATCAGTCTTTAAATCAGATGCAAGGAAATGAAAGCACACTTGAAAACATCGTTGGGTTCAGACGTCTAAATGTTCTGGATGGATATTCATGTCCAGTAAACAATACAATCAAAGTCGAAAACCAAGAAAATAAACTTTTGTGTTTGATTCTTTGTTCCAAACTGAGCTCATGCAAAGGTGTTTACATTTTACCGGACTCTAAAGAAAGATGTGTTATGTGCTCTGCAACCTTTTTCACTATTGACATCAGTCAAGAGATAAGTACAACACGTCAGTTTTACAAACGTATCAGTAAGTTAAATATTGTGTTTACTAAATGATTAATTCACATTCAAATAAATCTTCATATCATTTACTTTTGTTAATTCAGTTGAACTACACTATAACTTGGCTTCATTTTTTTCTCGACTACTTAAGTAAAAAAAAAATATTTATTGAATGTGGTTATTTATATATTTGTGTGAATATTAAATATATATGTAAAATCTTCTTCCTCAGGGAGATCGAGAAACAATGTAACGACCTCTGGAGTTTCTGCATACAGTTTTGCAAAAGAACAATTGAACTGGACCAGTGCAGAGGTATATTTTTTTATAAATACTTCCCTTTCAATTCACATTTAAAACAATGAGTGACACTTGCCGACACCTGGTTTGAAAGTGTATTTTTAGGATTTAACTGGCAAGGCTTAGTTCGTTCAGTGTTATGATTCGTTTTGTTCACCAGATCACAGAAGGTAAGATTTATTTTCCTAATTTTTGTCCTTTATTAACGCATCTTTAGTTAATCATTCAAATAAGGCAAGTGAATTATATCATTATTTCATTTTAAATAACAACTAATTTTAACAAATTTATTCAAAATATGTATAAATACAGATGTAGTTTACACAGTACTGTCTAAAGAAATTGGTTTAAAACCCGATGCGTTTGCATGATTTTATAATATTCGAAAGGTTGATTAGTTTTTAACAGGGTAATATATCGTTCTGTTTTAGGAAAATTGCAAAAGTTACGGAGGACATTTGGCGAAGATTATCTCTGATGAAGAAAATGAGTATGTAGTTAATGTTAGTGCATCATGTAAGTGTTCTTGTATACGATTTGTTAAATGAACGCAGTTGAGGTCTAAAGGTCTAAAATATAATATTTGAATTTCACATAGATCATTAAAAAAATTAAAATATACATAGAAATGTAAACGATGATAAAGAAATATACTCAGAAATAAATCAAAATGAATTAAAAATCGTATCTTTTCGTAGTATAATTTGAGTGAAAAAGTTGAAATTGGTCAGTTTTCACAATTGCAATAGTTATTCTTGTAAAACGAAGTGGGCAAATGGTCTAAAATTTTGCACACGAGACTAGAAGGCATGGATTATATTTTGTTTTTAGCTTAAGCAAACCGAGCCTGCAACATTTTAAACTGTGCAGTGCAGACAACCTTTTATGTTTTCATTTGTTGATCTGTACATTTCATATGTTAGATCGGCTCACATAAAATATTTACTTTATGATTATACAAACATTTACAAATCAGGTTAATTATAGTTTTGTAAAAGAATATGGTCTCAATGTACACAATGTCAGGAGTTCTTATCGTATGGGACTTTTAAAAAGTACATAAAAATACAATAAATTTTAATTGATGTATATCCTAAAGTATAAATTGAGATTTTGTTGTTTGTACACCCTTGTCTTGATGGCCAACAGCATAATTCTGCAATATCAAAAATTAAATACATGTCGACATCAGGCTATTAATTAAATTACAATTTAAAATCACACTAAATCCTATAAAGCTATATTCAAATGAATGTGTTTTCCAAAATCTTATGGTCTATCATCGAAGAAGGACTTTAACTATGTGCATGCGTCATTTGCTCCTCAGGAAATATACTAGCATATGCTATTTTTTTTCAAAACTCCAACAATATTTTTTGCAGCAGATATATAGCTTAATTCACTTTTAACGTTTCGATTATAGACCAATATGGGATCTGGATAGGTGGATACGGAGTCGGCGGGCCGGTTGACACATTCAGATGGTGGGATGGGTCACGTTTAGTTGACGGATATGACAATTGAAGTAAAGGACAACCTTGGACAAAAGAACCTGATCCGACGTGTATTGTCTTATTTAAGACAGCAAATGGACAATGGGGAGATGAGGATTGCAATGGCAAAAGGCGTGGTGTATGCAAATTTGAGTAAATCACAACATAATTTAATTATTCTGGTACTAACTTAATTAAAAAATGTAAGCATTTTATTCATGCATATTATAGATTCTTACACGCTTCACACTATTCCCAAATTATAAAGAAAGGACAATAAAGTGTATTATTACATGCTTACACGTCATATGCCGTTATTAATGACGTCAATAGACCAAATGACGTCAGGAAAATTATTAAGCCGCTCAATGTAGTTCAAAAAACTTTGATCAATTCTCTATTTATAAGCATGTTAGGATTGAAATAGACATTGGTTTTTCTTGCATTACAGTTTAATAATGCATGGCTCAAAGTTATAAAATTCATATCTATTTCCTAATTATTGATTTGCACATTTTAGATCTAAATCAAGTTGCTATACATCAAGGTAATTTGTATATATTGGCAGACATGAACGATAGCATTTTGATTATGACAGCATTCATAATTAAAGATATACTATCCTCAAATTTGATAATAGAAAATATTGACAATAGCTACACATTCTCTTTGTAAATATGAAATAAACATGTTTTAACTTTACTTAAAATCATACACACTACATGGGATCGCAATATAAATATATAATGTCATTAAAAAAACTTTCAATCCTTTCTTTTATTGTCCTGTTCTAGGAAAAGCAGCTTTCCATACATAGTCTATTTATTCTGTTATTCAAGTTTCAACTATTCAGTTATGATTTCACAGCTTTCAAAATAAATTCAAGGATGAGCAATTGTATATCTTTAATTTAAGAGCATTAGAATAGTAAGTTTATAGATACTTTAGCCAAACATTTACAGACTCCTTCAGAATAATCATTTGCTCTTTTCGTATCAATAATGTTTAATGTGCTACAGAAAAACTCCTCAATAACCCAATGAACCAAACTTAAAGAAAATACGTTTTTGTCTGAAAAATTTCGCAAAGAAACCTATAGGACATAGTTGATTAACAACAACACGTGAATATAGAGTAAGGAAATAGATATCAATTTTAAGTGCATTTTTGTAGAATAATGTACAATTCGAGTTCAAATGCGCAGGAAAAATAATCACGAAGGCCGATAGACCAGGGTTATTAATTACATAGCATTTGAACGAAATGTTAAATGGGGAATAATTTGAAGGATGTTGTAACAATTGTCATTAACGTTTTGGATTACGCCTTCACCAGGATAAACATTTAAACACACAACCGATGTGTTGTAGTAATAATAATGTAACATTAAAATGGCGGGAAAATGAACAATTCAAATATGTGTTTTTAAGAGTCTTTATTATACAAATGATATAAAAGCTAAGTTCTAATTTTGATTTAAAAATACTTAAATTTCCTATAGATATATATTAAATAAAAAAGCGTAAAATGTAAAAACAAAATAGTACTTAAGAAACACACACACAATATTATGTTAAACATGTAACACATATGATAAATCGACAGAAGATATCAGTTTTGTATTCATTCCTTTATTCCTTCTAGATATTGTGTTTGTAGTTTATGTATTCAGAAATTTATTTTTTTTATCTTATTTTATTGATATCCATGGGCATAAATGAAAGATCGTTAATATTATGATCATGGCGAAATCGCGGCCGTTATTTAAGGAGTTTAGACTAACAACTGTTCCGAGGTATTATCATGCATGGATGCCATCAAATAAAATGATTTCTTAAATTATATTTAATACTTTAAATACTCTCGTTTTCAGACATTCTTGTTATAATTAATATTTTGCAATTTTCTGTTTGCATTTAATCATTATTTTACGGATAATTATGGATATAGTCAAATACTTTCTTTATTTATAAGTTAGTAATATTAAAAATTCTCGCTGATTTCTGATATCCTTGTTCTTTAATTTATATTTTCAATTCATTCTTGACGTTTGGGTCCTTTAATAATACTTTGTTGATTATTTGTATTTGTCACTTTTTAACGATTATGTTTTTTATGATACTGTTCAGACCGTATACCCCGATTGCGCATACATCATGATTTTTATATTGGAGGATCGGGGAAGGGTGGATGTGACTTTGTTTTCATTTCTTTCAAACGTAATTATTTTTATAAGTGGTTGTAAATAAATATCTTTTCCATTTTGTTTTGTTGTTGTTGTTTTTTGTTGTTGTTGCTGCTGTGTTGGGTTTTTTTTAGATGTAAATTTACTCTATTACACCTATTTCCATGATGTAATCTAAACATGTGGGGAACAGAGATCTAACTGACTTATAATATTGTAAGGCTATTAGCTTATGTTGCAAAGATAGGTGAAGAATTTGCGTCGTTTTTTTATGTTCTCAACTTGCGCGCCTAGACCCCAAGATGCCTTAAAATTTCAAATGGACGACTGTGTTTTGTGCTGCATAATTTTAAAAAGTTATGCGAAAGTTGATTATTATGTTACATTGACTTTATAATAACGTGGTTACGTCTTATAATAATCTGCTCAACATAAAAAGTATTAAATAATTACTTTTGACATGTGCTTAATTCATAAATAGACTTTGTCTTAAGGAAAATCATTAAATATCTGTATAACTGACATCTGATATCTAGTCCATTTCTCCAATAAAAGTGTAATGTTTTCTTACATTACGTCTATTTCTAAGGAAGGACTAACTACAAGTATGAATCATACAAATTGACCATGATCAATGACTCTCAATGGAAGACCCAAAACTACATGCGTGTCAAATTATACACTATCCGTCGCCTACTTGTCAGTTATGTTGTATTAAACAGTGGTAAAGATAACAGCCACTGAAATATATTGACAAAACAGCGACATAAAGACAAGTTTCTTTCTTGGTTCCATGGTACCATGGCAATGAGGAATGACAACTATATCAAGCAGATCTGGAGTGATATTGTGTTTCTTATCAGTACAAACACACGCTGTTTCATAACAAATTTAGAATTGAAATTCAATTATATTCCTCTTTAACATTATTTCGAGAAAAAAAAAAACTTATACATAAAAGCATAGTGAATAAATTGTGCAGTTGCAATGTACGTGTTTATAAGTGTATCCATTTTATAGTTACCTTTGATGAACAAGAAAAAAAAAGAATAATTCTTATCGCTAATTCGAAATGAGCACCTTAGGGATTACGAAACATCACTAACATACTGGAGCATTTACAAAGCTATAACATCAATAAAGCATAACAAATATCAATACGTGACCGATGATGTGTTTTAGTAATTGTTTTATAGCAGAACATTTTGTTCATTAAATTATAAATGAGGTTGTTCAGGCGATATATTGTAGTGCCCCGGTATTTAATGGTAACTGATACTTACCTGGTGATTTTTATTTATTCTGTGTCCTTTTTGTTATTTTTCTTTTTGAAACAACAAATATTTTTGCAGCTTTCACTGGCTTCCCGTATAAATCAAGACAGTTGGACTGTTTAAATATTCATCTCAACTTGCCTTATCTATGCGTTTTGCCAGGATTTCTTAATTTTACATCGCACTGTCTCCGTTCAAAATGTTAACAGTTTGTATTTTCTCTTTTGCTGCTCCGTTTATCCTAGTCCGTGAAGTTTTTGTGATAAATCCAGTTTAAATCGTCAATAATACATGTTTTCTTTTATAATGTGAAGTAACTTGTTTAAAATCCATTTTAAACCTTCCAAATTTATTGATTTAATTTGTAATTACTAGCACATTGTTATTGTACAGGAGGCGGCCATTTTGTTATGACAGCTTCCGGTTGTATTGCTACGGACGCCGGTGCGCTAAGGATATTTTTTCCGTATTGTTTACATTGTTTTGATTTGAGAATAGATAGCTATGGCCAGTTTGTTAAACTGTAGAAACGTCCATATCATGTAATTATTTTTGTCTTACATTTCTATCTTTATCTTTAGTGTCTACTCGGTACAATTATCAAAATTTTAAGTTTGCATCACTGCTGCAGTAGATGCGCGCTTTTGCTACGTCATTAATGGTGCATTGATGCGTTCTTGTGTTATGCTACAAGAATGATGCATTTATGCATCATTTTGTTGCATGCTACATTGGTAGCACTCAGTTTTGTATAAATACCAGACGTCTTGCTGCGTTTTGGGACTTCAGATATTTTTTGGGGCCTGGGCACCCGTTACTCTAGTAGCTAAATTTTAAGAACATTTAAATTAAAGCATTTATTTTTCTAAAAGGTTAGTGTGACTTAACAAAATAGCGAATAGACACTAGACAAAAATTATTAATAGTACATTTTTCTTGGTTTGATAAGATATTTTATATCTTCAAAGAAATATTTTTGTAAGAGAAATCTTGTAATGTTTTTGTAGATTTCTCATTGATAAGTAATAATAGTTTTCCTATATATCTTTAAGTAAACTTGTGCATTTTAAATCATTTATTACATTGCCATATGAGTTTGAGGCTTGTAGGTTCTATATACAATGAACAGTTAATTATAAGTTATCCATATACCTGCACAAGGGTTTAGCATTTCAGTAAATATGGTGGTTAGCCATAGGTTGGTAGATAATTTAATGAGTTTTAATTAAGTTGTTAAAACATGAAACTTACTTATTAATTGATGAGCATGTTTTGATTGCTTTAGATTTAACAGAAAATTAAATTGATTATACTTTATCAAGTGCTTGTCTTTTGTCATTGTGTACAAAATAGATTTTAATTATTATTTACCTATACTGATTGAGACCCGCCTTTATTGAGTACTTAAGTCCATCGCCCATTTGTTTGCCCTTCACCCTGAAGCCTAAGTCCTGTATCCTGACAATATTGCGAGGGACTCAGAGCATTGGGATAACCAGCCTGGTGAACTGAGCAGTATAAGTGGAGCTGATACCAAAGTCGAGCACTCACACACTCAGTCATCCAGACACTACATTGTCTATAGCATATTGTGTTTTACAATACCAAGGCCATCCGGACGCTAGGACCGCTAGCGCGTCATATATTTTTAATAAATGGAGCTGGTATTAAGGTCGAGCACTCACACACTCGGACATCCGGACACTACATTGTCTATAGCATATTGTGTGATACAATACCAAGGCCATCCGGACGCCAGGACCGCTAGCGCGTAACAATATTTTGTGTCTGAAGTGTTTTATGATCTCTTGAATATACCTTGTTTTAAAGAAGACTAACCTTGCTTTAGTATTTCAAGATGATATGCGTTTGTAAGCTATTTTGTAAGATGTAGATTTGTGGAATTATCTATCAATGGGAACAAAATCTCTTTGCAAAAAGGCACAATTACCTACTTTTTACGATAAAATAATGATATATCCATATATATTACTCTACAGATCTATACACTCTATTGGTCATATGGCGACTTTCCAGTTTTACGGTTGGAGGAATACCTCAGTTGCACTTTCGTGCATTATTTCACACACGAACAGCACCTGAATATAATCACCGACGTTCCGTTAGTAAATTTGATAGCTTTCTTACTGAAAGAATCCAAGGACCTGCTGTATAACGCTAATGTGTTCTCGTTTTAACATGTATTATTGGAGTTTCTAAATTATCTGATTAACGATATGCTAATATACGACAAGAACTTGCTTATAACAGCTTATGCTTATATAAATATGTTCGGTTCTGCTTTTTCTCAAACGTGTTTGTGTTAAGAACACGCAATAAGCTGACAATTAATGATGTTTGTAGTGCGCAGTTAATTTGCAAAGAGTAATAGGGGATAGGGAAATGCACATGTCCCCTAGCACCGGCTTAATCGGTATTCAATCATCAATACTGATAGTATTGGGATCGATCGTCTCGAACGGAAAAAACAACACTGAAGTACGGTTTAACCTTTTACAGCTGCAACATAGCACTGAAAACCTGTTTTTGTGAGTAGTAACATTCACAAATATCTAATGAAAACACAAAACTCAGTTTTACCACCTTTAATTACCTCTTGTTATCTTATTTCTAGCTGAATGGATGTTACATGAGGCGAAATACCGGTATTTACAAGCATTTCTAATGTAAACGTGCCAATATGAAATTGTGTCTTTATTTGTTAGTGGAATTTGTCTTTGAGAGTTGCTGATTGAATCGTTGAATTTATCAGTGATATCGTGTATCTGATATTATTTTATAAAAAAATAGTTCTCAGGAAAGATCATGACGAAACAGAAATATTATTTGTGATTCTTTAACTTAACGTAACTTTTTAACTGATACATATTATGGGCATTTGACGCATTAGATAAATGTTTCTAATCATTCTCTAAATGAAGTGGTTTTAGATGCAAAGCTAAAGATTTAAGACGGCAAATCATAAGTATTTGATTGTTTATTTATTTTATATTTTAATATGTTGCAATTGAAACTACATTGTTAGAAGACATGATGAAAATAACAAGTGCTTTGCTCGTACACTTAATAATCAGTCTTTTGAATCAGATGCAAGGAAATGAAAGCACACTTGAAAACATCGTTGGATTCAGACGTCTAAATATTCTGGATGGATATTCATGTCCAGTAAACAATACAATCAAAGTCGAAAACCAAGAAAATGAACTTTTGTGTTTAATTCTTTGTTCCAAACTGAGCTCATGCAATGGTGTTTTCATTTCACCGGACTCTAAAGAAAGATGTGTTATGTGCTCTGCAACCTTTTTCACTATTGACATCACTCAAGAGTTAAGTACAACACGACAGTTTTACAAACGTATTAGTAAGTTAAAATATTGTTTGCTAATTACGTAATAAATAATTGTATAAATTTTCATATCATTTAGTTTTGTTAACTTTGTTGAAATACATTATAAAATGGCTTCATTTTTTTTTCTCGACTACTTAAGTAAAAAAATATTCATTGAATGTGGTTATTTATATACTTGTTTGAATATTAAAAATATGTAAAATCTTCTTCCTCAGGGAGATCGAGAAACAATTTTACGACCTCTGGAGTTTCTGTATACAGTTTTGCAAAACAAGATTTGAACTGGACGAATGCAGAGGTATACTTTTTATAAATACTTCCCTTTCATTTCACATTTAAAACAATGAGTGACACTTGCAGGCACCTGGTTTGAAAGCGTGATTCTAGGATTTAGCTGGCAATGCTTAGTTCGTCCCGTGTTATGATTCGTTTTGTTCAACAGATCACAGAAGATAAGATTTATTTTCCTAGTTTATGCAACTTTAGTTAATCACTCAAATAAGGCAAATGAATTATATCATTATTTCATTTTAAATAACAACTGATTTTAACAAATTTATTCAAAATATGTATAAATACATATGTAGTGTACACAGTACTGTCTAAAGAAATTGGTTTAAAACCCGATGCTTTTGTATGATTTTATAATATTAGTATTTTAACAGGGCAATGTATCGTGTAATTTCAGGAAAATTGCAAAAGTTACGGAGGACATTTGGCGAAGATTATCTCTGACGAAGAAAATCAATATGTAGTTAATGTTAGTCCATCATGTAAGTGTTCTTGTTAACGATTTATTAGATGAACACAGTTGAGGTCTAAAGGTCTAAAATATAAAATTTGAATTTCACATAGATCATTTAATGAATTAAAGTATAGAAGAAATGCAAACGAAAAAAAAGAAATATATTTAGAAATACATTAAAAAATAAACTAAAAATCGTATTTGTGTGCTTATCATAGTCTAATTTGAGTGAAAAACATTGAAATTGCCACTTCCCAAAATTGCACTTGTTATTCTGGTAAAACGGAGTGGACAAATGGTCTAAAATTTTTGCACACGAGACTAGAGGGCATGGACTATAGCTTGTATTTTCTTAGACAAACCGAGCCTGCATTATTTTCAACTGTGCAGTAGGCAACCTTTTATGTTTTCATTTGTTGATTTGTACATTTCATATGTTGGATCGGCTCACATAAAATAATTACTTTATGATGAAACAAACATTTACAAATCAGGTAAATTATAGTTTTGTAAAAGAATATGGTCTCAAGGTTCACAAAGTCAGGAGATTTTATCGTATGGGACTGATTTCTTTTTAAAAGGACATAAAATTACAATAAATCTTTAATTGTTGTATATTCTAAAGTATAAATTGAGATTTTGCTGTTTGTACACCCTTGTCTAGATGACCAACAGCATAATTCTGCAATATCAAAAATTAAACATGTCGTCATCAGGTTATTAATTAGATTACAGTTTAAAATCAACACTAATATTGTTAAATAGAAAGCCAAACACGGCACAATTGAAAATGTTGCTGGCTCGGTTTGATTGAGCTAAGGGTGATTCAACATTATTCAAGTAGGAATATTGAAACCACCCAACTAGAAAATGCCGAAAAGTTGAAGCTAAAATACCACAAGCACAACAATAATGTCGTGCTGAACGATCTTCAAGGATCGAAAATATAACATCATTGTTTAATGTACGGGGAGACTTTTTACAGCCGCCACACGGCACAAATGACACGGATGTGATCATAATATAGATAAATACAGAATCCCTAAAGAAAGCCCAACACGACACAATTGAAAATGTTGCAGGCTCGGTTTGATTGAGCCTGTTCATGGACGGTACTGAAAAGTGCAAGTAACCGTCCACGCCCCCTAGCTCCGGCTTAAGCAGAATTCAACATTTAAACATGAAATAGTAAAATTTTGAATTTAGAAACTTCTGCAGATGTGTTCATACGGCAGTTATCATGGAACCTTCAATGTGACACTTCCGTGCATTTCCATGAAAAGCGGCGTATGGTCCCCAAGTAATAAAAAGCGTGTGCCCTAAACGAGAAAACAATGGGCGGAACTAAATAAAATGGAATTTTGAAAGGGGATCAGAGGTTATGAAGCCTGCGTATCACAGACAAGACGTCAAAAGACAAATTTAAAAAGCAAATCCTATACTTTACTATATCCTATAAAGCTATATTCTACTGAAATAGTTCAATAAAATTTTATCAACAGTTATATTATATGTTTTCCACAATCTTATGGTCTATCATCGAAGAAGGGCTTTAACTCTGTGCATGTGACATTTGCTCTTCATGAAATATACTAATCAGAGCTGCATTACTGGTACTGGTACTGGTACTGCAGTACGTACTGCAGCGATTTTGCAAGTACTGGTACTGATACTGAATTACTCTTACAAAATTTTGCTACTACTGGTACTGGTACTGCATTACTGTCTTAAAAAGTGGTACTGCTACTGCATTACCCAGTACTTTTGGTTTTGATAAAAATTTAAAAAAGCATCAATTTTTCTCATAAAATAAAGCTGTAAATGACATGAACTATATTTTATTTTTGTGAAAAAGTAAGTGATAATTTGCTGCAATATCTCTTCAAATGTTAACAAAGTATTCATCATAAAAAACACCAAAGACTCTAAGTAAAAATTAAATTAAGATAAACAGACTCAATAACTATTTACTCTAAAATATCCTTATTAAAATCTTTTATTACTTTGTATTTACTAGTAAACGAGCAAAATAAACACTAATTATTTTTTTCTATTCTAAATAAGCCCATTTCAAGTGAAAAAAGTGATATTGTTAGCACCATAAAAAGTCGATATTACTTTGGTATAAATTGAACAGAGGTGTGAAGGTGTGAAAGGCAACAAAAGACTGTTGTGTTTTAAATGAAAGATGTTTGCATGGTATTTATACTGTTGACTGGTTACTAAACAATTAGATATGACATAAATATATGTTGTAAATATTGTTTGTAAAAAGTATGTTAAAACTATAAAGTTGTAAACATGTTATGTTAACTTTAAAGTAAATTATGATTTTATTTCTTTGCTGAATAATATTTGCAATTATTTGTTTGACACTGTATTTATTCAACTTTTGATGAATATATAAAAGTAATGGTACTGATACTTAATTACTTCACCAAAAAAAAGTACTGGTACTGCAGTACTGAGCTAAAATCTAGTACTGGTACTGGTAATGGTACTGCATAATTTGCCAAGTACTGGTACTAATACTTAAGTACTACACCCTTAGAACTGATGCAGCTCTGATACTAATATAAGCTATTTTAAAACTCCAACAATATTTTTGCAGCACATATCTGGATAGGTGGATATGGAGTAGGCGGGCCGGTTGACACATTCAGATGGTGGGATGGGTCACGTTTAGTTGACGGATATGACAATTGGAGTAAAGGACAACCTTGGACAAACGAACCTGATCCAACGTGTATTGCCTTATGGACATCAAGTGGACAATGGGGAGACGAGGTTTGCCATGACAAAAGACATGGTGTATGCAAATTTGAGTAAATCACAACATAATCTAATTAATCTAGTACTAAAAGTACTTTATTAAAAAATATAAGCATTTGATTCATGCATGAATTCATTATTATTGATTCTAACAAGCTTTACACTATTCCGAAATAAAAAGATAGGACAATCAAAATGTGTTTTATTACATGCTTACATGTCATATGAGGTTATTATTGACGTAAATAAACCAAATGACGTCAAGAAAATTATTAAGACGCTCAATGTAGTTCAAAATACTTTGATCAATTCTCTTTTTATTAGCATGTTGAAATGGAAATAGACATTGATTTTTCTTGCATTACAGTTAAATGATGCATGGTTCAAAGTTATAAAATTCATATTTATTTCCAAATTATTGATTTGCACATTTTAGATCTAAATCAAGTTGCTGTAAATCAAGGTACTATGTATATAGTGGCCGATAGAAAGATAGCCTATTGATTATGACAGCATTCATAATTAAAGATATACTATCCTCAAATTTGATAATAGAAAATATTGACAATTGCTACACAGTCTCTTTGTAAATATGAAATAAACATGTTTTAACTCACTTAAAATCCTACACACTACATGGGGGTCACAATATGAATATATATGTTATTAAAAGAAAACTTGCAATCCTGTTAAGAAAATACCAACTTTTCTTGTCCTGTTATAGGAAAAGCAGCTCCCCATACATACTTTATTTATTCTGTTATTCAAGTTACAAATATTCAATTATGATTTCATAGCTGTCATAAAAATTCAAGGAGGAGCAATAGTATATATTTAATCTAAGAGCATAAGCATAGTAAGTTTATAGATACTTTAGCTAAACATTTACAGACTCCTTGGGAATAATCATTTGCTCTTTTCGTATCAATAATGTTTCATGTGCTACAGAAAAACTCTTCAACAACCCAATGAACCAAACTTAAATAAAATACGTTTTTGTCTGAAATTTTTCGCAAAGAAACTATAGGAAATAGTAGATTAACAACAATACGTGAATATAGAGTAAGGAAATAGATATCAATTTTAAGTGTATTTTTGTAGAATAATGAACAATTCGAGTTCAAACGCGCAGGAAAATAATCACGAAGGCCGATAGACCAGGGTTATTAATTACATAGCATTTGAACGAAATGTTAAATGTGGAATAATTTGAAGGATGTTGTAACAATTGTTTTGGTCATTAACGTTTTGGCCTACGCATTCACCAGGATAAATACTAAACCACAAACGTGTTGCAGTAATAATTATGAAATATTAAAATGTCGGGAAAATGTACAATTCAAATATGTGTTTTAAAGAGTCTTTTTTATACAAATGATACAAAAGCTAAGTTCTAATTTTGATTGAAAAATACGAAAATTGCCTTTCCAATAGAGATATATTTGAATGATATCTATGGGCATAAATGAAAAATCTTTGGCGAAATCACGACCGTTACTTAAGGAGTGTAGACTAACACTTGTTCCAAGTTTTTTTTCATGCATGTATGCCGTCAAATCAAATGATTTCTTAATCATATTTAATACTTTAAATACTCTCGTTTTCAGAAATTCTTGTAATAATTAATATTTTACAATTTTCTGTTTGCATTTAAACATTATTTTACGGATAATTATGGATATAGTCAAACAATTTTTTTATAAGTTAGTAATGTTAAATATTCTCACTGACATCTGATATCCTTGTGCTATATTTTGTATTTACAGTTCATTCTTGAAGCTTGAAGCTTCGGTCCTTCAATAATATTATGATGATTTTTTGTATTTGTCACTTTTTAACGATTTTGTTTTTTTATGAAATTGTTCGGATCGTAAAGCCCGATTGCGCATACAACATGATTTGTTGTATATTGGAGGGTGGGGGAAGTGAGAAAGTGTCTATCAAACGTAAATATTTTTTAAAGATGGTTGTAAATAAATATCTTTTCCATTTTGTTTTGTTGTTGTTGTTTTTTGTTGTTATTGCTGTGTTGGTTTTTTTTCAAATGAATATTTACTCCATTACACCTATACCCATGTAGTCTAAACATGTAGGGAACAAAGATCAAATTGACTTATAATATTGCAAGGCTATTGGCTTATATTGCAAAGATAGATGAACAATTTGCGTCGATTATTTTATATTTTTAACTTGCGCGCCTTGACCCCCAAAATGCCTTGAAATTTCAAACTGACGACTTTAATAACATGAACACAGTTTTTTGCTGCATATAAAATACCGAAAGTTGATTTAGAATGTTACATTGACTTTATAATAACGTGGTTACGTCTTATAATATTCTGCTCAACATAAAAAGTATTAAATAATTACTTTTGACATGTGCTCAATTCATAAATAGACTTTGTCTTAAGAAAAATCATTGAATATCTGTATTACTGACAACATTACGTTCTATTTCTTAGGAAGGACAAACTTTAAGTATGAATCATACAAATTGACCCTGCTCAATCACTCTCAATTGAAGACCCAAGACTACATGCGTGTCAAATTATACACTATCCGTCGTGTACTTGTCTGTTATGTTTTCTTAAAAAGTGGTAAAGATAACAGCCACAGAAATATATTGACAAGCCAGTGACATAAAGACAAGTTTCTTTCATGGTATCATGCCAATAAAGAATGGAAACAATATACTGCAGATCTGGAGTGATATTGTGCTTTTTATCAGTTCAAAGACACATCATGTTTCATAACAAATTAAGAATTGAAATCAAATTATATTTTTTCTTTACCAGAACATTATTTCGAGAAAAAACTTATACATAAAAGCGAAGTGAATTCAATCGTGCAAGTGCAATATCCGTGTTTATAAGTGTTTCCATTTTTACAGTTATCCTTGATGAACAAGACGAACAAAAATAATTCTTATTAATATAAATTGTCGCTAATTAGAAATGATCACCTTGGGGATTACGAAACATCACTAACATACTGGGGCATTTATGAAGCTATATTATCAATAAAGCGTAACAAATATCAATTATCGTGACTGATGACGTGTTTAAGTAATTGTTATGTAGCAGAATATTTTGTTAAATAAATTATAAATAAGGTTGTTAAGGCGATTGTATTGTGTCTGAACTGTTTAATAATCTCTTTAATGTACCTAATTTCAATCAGACTAATCTTGCTTAAGTATTTCAAGATAATATGCGTTTGTAAACAATTGTGTAAGATGTAGATAAGTGGAATAATCTTTCAATGGGAACAAAATCTTTTGAAAACGCACAATTACCTACTTTTAATGATAAAATAATGAGATATCCATACATATTACTCTACAGATCCATTTCAAAATTTGCCTAATATATCTAATATAAATCATTGACCTGGTCAGTATACGAGTCTAAACAGCTTGAAGCTTCAAACACATTGGTAACACAGCTTATATAGACAAAATGAGATATCAACAATTTTTGAAAATAAAATGTCTGTGTTTTGTTTGTTTGATAGGGTTTAACGTCGCGACAACATTGTATTGGTCATATGGCGACTTTCCAGCTGTACTGGTGGAGGAAGAGCTCAGTTGCATATCCGTGCATTTTTTCACACACGAACAGAACCTGAATAGATTCACCGAAGTTCCGTTAGTTAGTTTGATAGCTTTCTTACGTTAAAGAATCCAAGGACCTGCTGTTTAACGCAAATGTGTTCTCATTTTAACATATATTATTTGAATTTCTAAATTATCTGATTAACGATATCCTAAAATACGACAAGGACTTGATTATTACAGCTTATGCATTTCATATAAATATGCTCGGTTCTGCTTTTTCTCAAACGTGTTTGTGTTAAGAACACGCAATAAGCTGACAATTTATGATGTTTGTAGTGCTTAGTAAATTTGCAAAGAGTAATAGGGGATAGGGAGACCCAGGTAGACGAATGAAAACAAAAGTCAAACCTAAAGAAAAGGAAAATGCAGCCCGTCTTATGAGCGATTATAGAAAGTGTAACATTCCACTTGCCCCGTAGCACCGCCTCAAGCGGTGATCAATCATCAATGCTAATAGAATTGGGAGTAATCTTCTGGAATGCAAGAACAACACTAAAGTGCGTTTTGACCTTTTACAGCGGCAACATAGCACTGAATATCTGCTGTTGTGAGTAGTAACATTTACAAATGTTGTGAACATATCTAATGACGATACAAAACTCAGATTTACCACCTTTAATTACCTCTCCTCATATTCTTTCAAGCTGAATGGATGTTATATGAGGCGAAATATTAACATGCATTTCTAATTTAAACGTGCCAATATGAAATTCTGTTGTTTTTTTTGTCTGTAGAATTTGTGTTTGAGACTTATTGATTGAATCATTGAATTAGTCAGTGATATCGTGTATCTGATATTATTTTATAACAAATAGTTCTCGTAAAGATCATGACGAAACAGAAATATTATTTGTGATAATTAAACTAAACGTAACTTTTTGATTGATGCATTTTATGGGCATCTGATGCAATAAATATAGGTTACTGTTCATTCACTAAATGAAGTGGTGTCAGATGCAAAGCTAAAGATTTAAGACGGCAAATAATTTGTATTTGATTGTATATTTATTTTATATTTTAATATGTTGCAATTGAAACCAAATTGTTAGAAGGCATGATGAAGATAATAAGTGTTTTGATAGTACTCTTAATAATCAGTCTTTTGAATCAGCTGCAAGGAAATGAAAGCACAAATGAAAACATCGTTGGATTTAGACGCCTGAAGGTTCTGGATGGATATACATGTCCAGTAAACAATACTATCAAAGTCGAAAACCAAGAAAATGAACTATTGTGTTTAATTATTTGTTCCAAACTGAGCTCATGCTATGGTGTTTTCATTTCATCGGACTCTATAAGAAGATGCGTTATGTGCTCTGCAACCCTTTTCACTATTGACATCACACAAGAGATAAGTACAACACGTCAGTTTTATAAACGAATCAGTAAGTTAAAATTGTGTTTGCTAAATGATAAATTCACATTCAAATAAATCTTCATATCATTTAGTTTACTTAATTCAGTTGAACTACACTAAAACTTGGCTTCATTTTTTCCTCGACTACTTAAAATGTTTAATTATTGAACGTGATTATTTATATTATTTGTTAGAATAGTTCACATATGTAAAATCGTCTTCTTCAGGGAGATCGAACAATGAAACGACCTCTGGAGTTTCTGTATTCAGTTTTGTAAAACAATATTTCACTTGGACTAATGAAGAGGTATACCTTGATAAATACACGTAGTTTCATTTCATTTCCTATTTAAAACAATGAGTTACACTTCCCGAATGGGGTTGAAAATGTCTTTTTTGGGTGGTTGTTTCTGGGGATGTGTTGTTCTGTCAAATATTAGTTAGCCCTGTGTCCTGACACTTTGTTTTGCCCAGATTACAAATTAATTAATTCATTTAAAGATTAAATTTTCTGTTTTATTTTTCTTAAATAATGCATCTTTCAATAAAGTAAATGGGTTAAATCATTATTTCATTTTAAATTAGAACTGATTTAATCATATTTATTTAAGATATACAACATACAGAAGTAGATTTTCTAATTACTCTTAAAAGGAATTGGTATTAAGCCTGATTCTGCTGCGTGATTTTGTTATATTCGAAGGATATGTTAGTTAGTTTTGTACAGGGCAATATATAACGACTTTTTAGGAAAATTGTAAAAGTTTCGGAGGACATTTGGCGAAGATCATCTCTGATGAAGAACTTGAGTATGTAGTTAATACTACTATTGCGTCAGGTAAATTTTCTTGTTAACGATTAGTTAAAGGCACTTAACTGTGATCAAAAGGCCTAAAAAATTTAAATATCTGACATAAACCAGTTGGGGCACTTAAAATGTAGGTAAAAATGTTAGAAAATGATAATTAAATGACATAAATCTTGTCTTTAGATGTGTTTTTAAATTACCATTCTAACATAGAGAGCGTCGATATGTTAATTATAGTTCTGCTCAAGAATATGGTCTCAATGTACAAAACTTCAAGCGTTCTTATGGTATTTAACTTATTTCTTTCAATACAACATATCTTAATATTTAATTAAATGTTTTTTTTTCTATATATGGCCAACAACATGACTGTGTTATACTAATGTATAAATGAATAAATAAATAAATAGATAAATTAATTAATTAAAGAATAAATAAATAAATAAATAAATAAATAAATAAAAAGCAAATTCAGTTGGCCGTCTCTCTTCAAATATTTGATGTTGTCATTTAGAATTACATTTAAATTCTTAGATACACTAAATCCTTACCAGTTAAGACATTACAACTATAAATTGTTATTTTATGTTTATACATGTGAGTAACAGGTGAATAACACATTTTATCACATAATGCACGTCGCGGGAAAAAATAAAGCCATTTACTACACACCCGTGCCGCCTTTACGACTTCGTCAAAAAAGGTATTGCACGGCCGTGCATATATTTTGACGTGACGTTCAATAAAATCAGTATTTAATTTTATATTCATTCTATTCACTATCTTCTATGTATACTCTACCTATAATTATAATAAGCATAATTGAACGTTACAATTATAGACCAACACGGGATCTGGATAGGTGGATCTGGTATGGGCGGATTGATTGACAAATTCAGATGATGGGATGGATCACGGTTAATTGACGGATATGATAACTGGAGCTATGGACAACCTTATTCAAAAGAACTTAATCCGACGTGTATAGTCTTATTTACGAAAGCAAATGGACAATGGGGAGATGAGTATTGCGATCACAACAGATTTGGTCTATGCAAATTTGAATAAAACACAGGAAAATGGTGTTATACTATCACTAAAAGTATATAATGCACACAAAATATATAAGCATTAAATTCATGCAATGATACTTTAGACGCCGCTTACATT